AAGGAAAGCAGAAATCTACCTTTGAGCTGGTGTGCTAAACTTGCTGTTGTCAATACTTTGCTAGAACAATACATTTCTGTCCCTAGAAAGTGCATATAAGCTTTCATATTGCATGAAGACATTTATTTAAAGGGCACTTTTTCAGGAAGTACTGCTTTTGGATAGATTTTAAATCTAAGAGGGCATGAGTCAAAAACGGGTATTCCATAACTTCCTTCTCAGTAGCCAGTGCATTTAGACTCCATTTCTGCTGCTTGTGACTAAGAGCCTCTGACGCCCTGAGGAAAGAAGGTTCTCCTTGTTTAGCAAGAAAAAGCAGTCTGGAACAGGGTTTTCAGACTTTTATTACAGCTGCAGAATAAAGATGAGAAATCAGTGTTCCAAGTAAGTGGTTTTACAGTCATAGCACAGGAGACTCTAATGCATTATGTGCTAAAAGAGGAAGAAATGTCAGGAACAGCTAATAAGGTTAAACGTGCTTCTCTTTTGGCTTTTCAGCAGAGTCTTTACTTGCTGTGCTGCATTACCCCATCAGCTCTGTGTGCACAGAACAATGCCCAACGTCAACGTAGATTGCCCACCCCCGGTATTATTGTTTGTACAGTGGAATTTTTTTGTTCCAGTTTCGTACAGACCACTGTAGGCTGCGTGTCTGCCTTAGGGTTACGTGTGCTGCTGTGATCTGCATGCGTGAAGAAAAATCCAAGTGAATTTTGCATTTTTATTGAAAAGATGAAAAAAAAAATTCGTTATGTATTGTCCTCTGGGAAATAAGCTGCAGCATTTGAATAGTGCATAGAATTACATCCAAGATTGCAAGTGTGTGTGTGGGAGGATTGGCGTAGCTATGCTTTAGAAAAATTACTTAACTTGAGAGTGTTTTATATTGCTTTTTTTAATATTTGAGCTACTGTGTTGCTATTTGCTTTTGATGGAGGATATTAGCTTTAGAAATGAAGATTTTACACGTTGAACTTAATATGCATTAAACTATCTAGTTTCCCGGGTTTTGTACTATTTTAACCCCCTTCTGTATTTACACTGGCCAATGCATTTTTTTGTTTTAAAGCCAAATTTATCTGCTGATATTGTCTATGGCTTCATGCCAAAACAAAGGTATTTACTCCTTTTATTTAATGCAGAAAGACAAGCAGTCCTTCGCTCATAGAAATTCTGAAGCTTCTTTACATAGTGCAGGGAGAACTCTTACTGGTTTTGCGTCTACTTAAATAATCCCTTAAATGCTGCCTCGGGTTTGGGAGCAAAAATATTTTGATGTTGAACACTGTAGATTTACTAGAAGTAAAATGAGCAGGGATGTGAGAAGAAGGATTAAGTGACTTAAGCCCCCACACTTTTAAAACACGGAGAAATAATAATTTCAGAGTGTGTATGATTTTGTTACTATTGTTACCACTTGTGGCTGACTTAGAGATTGAAATATCTTATGGGATAACCAGTTTTAGGGAGATGTAAAAATTGGAACCCTTAAAGATGTCCCCTAAATGCAGGTGGTTTTTATTTTTTAATATTTCAGTGATTCCTGCCACCTTATTTTTTGTTTGATTTAAAATTTGAAGGATGGTAGCTTATATATGATATTTTTTTTGGCTTGTGTGTGTGTGTCTTTTGTCTCTTTAATTAGAATTAGAAGGATGGTCACAAAATAAAGAAAACCAGTTTTCTCTGCAGTCTCTGTGCAAAAGCAAAATGGTCACCCAATCCCAGAGTAGTTGAGGTTGTGAGTGACCTGTGGAGGCCGTTGGTCCATCCACAGGGCCACCTGGAGCCGGGTGCCCAGGACAGTATGCTGGGTTTTTTGGTGGCGTTTGGTTGGTTTTGTAGTTTGTTTGGGTTTTTTTTGTTTTGTTTTGTTTTTGAGTATTATTTGTTTTGATTCCTTAAAGGAACAGTGGAGTTGCTTCTCTGGATTTGGTGCACCTACCATCTGTCTCTGCTTAACTTCACTTCCCAGCTCTTCCTTTTTGCTTCTTTGAGGGTGATGAAAGAAGCCTTTTTTTTCTTCTAGGGCCATCCTATGTAAATGTGAATTTCTCTCCTTTTATTTGTGGAGTACCCGTAATGTAATTATCTTTCTCAAGGTAAGGGCAAAGATCCCAGTGTGTATTTGGAGGTTGCTGGTTCTTCCATGTTGTTCAGGTACACAGTAATGTACGTACTGTTTTGCAGAAATCCCTTCCATGAGATTGCTGTCTGCATAAGCCTATGTGATGTTAGATCCCATCATTTTCAGATTAATCTATGTTGCTTCAGTCACCTGAAAAATGTTGCTTCATTATGACTCTTTTTTCCCCCCAGTATATTGTTATTCTGTTCACATTCTCACATTTGCAAACTCCAACTATTCCATCTCATTTTTAACACTGACTGTGGAACTGAAGCAGAGCCAAGTCTTGCTGTATCTCCTAAAAAAATGTAACTTACACAGTTGTATTGTCTGAGAATCCTGGTAAACTTTGAAACTCTTGGCTGATTTCAGACAGAATGGAGAGTTGTTTTAAGTTGCTCTTATGTTTTATGAAAATAAATGGCCCATTTAAAGGCAAGTGATCATTAAATCTCTTAAACAGGAAGGTCTGAGGTATGAGCTCAGCTATTATTAAACATCAGAGAACTAGGGATGGGAGGGGAGGAGTTACAAGTGCTCCAGTGAAAGAAGAGGAAAAAAGCTATATTAATGTTAACTTTTTTATTTGATATCAGAAATTCAATTAGAAAGCAAAATCTTGTAAAGTCAGGCTTTATACTTCCTATTCAATTGGTTGCTTCTTTTTGAGGTGGTAAGAGTTAGTAAAGTAATGTAATGTAATGTAATGGCCAGTGTAGTTCTTTCCTCATCTGCTTTTGTGTAAGAATTGGCAACAACTAAGAAGAATATTTGATGGTAATTTTTCTTTCTGGGAGGCATTTACTGTTGAGGAATGAGAGACTCACAATATGTAGCTCCAGAGCAGTTTGCATGTTCTCTGTCTTCAGTGACATTGAGGGGAATGTGCTGTCATGGATACTGGTGAGAAAGCAATTGGATTGTCATCTTTGTTCTTTTGCTCCTGCTCTTACTTTCAGGAATTTGAATTTTGTCGGAAGGCCATAATTGTAATGAACACTCCCAACACTGACTTTATTGTGCGCAGAACCCATCATTGGGCTTCAACAGCGTGGGAGTGGTGCTAATTCCATGAGGTGTGGCTACAAACACCCACTCACCATTGGAGTTTTGCATAGACAAAGAGTATCTCCAGTTCTGTTTTCCAGGATGTATGCTGATGAATGAAGGAGATGATTGTCCATTGATGGAGTCTAATAAAATGCATTCCAGTTAAATGGCAGAAGTCAGGATGTGGTGCTTGAGGAAGTGGGAGTAACTGAAGTTGTGAAACGGGGGCCACCCTAGAGTTACTTCTGGGTCCACATACTTTTGTTAAGTTTTATGACCTTGAAAATCTGCAGGTTTAAAATCTGGTATTATTCAGCCTTTCATGTGGGTTACCAGTAGCAAAACATGATTAGCTTTAAAGGCAATAGGAAATTCAGAGTTAAATGCACAAATATCTGAGAGAATGTTGCAGTGCAATTTAAGGTGGGATAAGTGGAACAAAAATAGTTGAACCAATTCTAATAGCAAATTCATACCAAACAAGGAAGTTGTTGCTCTTTTTCTCTCTTCCTACCTGAGTATGTGTCCTGCTCTCTGCATCAGGTTGATTCTTGTGTCAAACCCCCACAGTGTCAGAAATCAGATCACTGGGAAGCAGAAGGGTCTCTGGTCTTGAGGTTTTGTGTGTGCTGGGAGGTGGGGAAGGGGTGGCTGTGTTTGTGTCATGTGTTTTTTTCAGGTCCCTCCCTCTCCGCTCGTGTTTTTTTTTCTGTCAGGTTTGAGTTGAATTGGCTTTCTGGAGAAGTCCAGTGAGCCCCAGAAATGGCTCAAAGTAGGCAGCAGGAGCTCAGACCCCCGAATGAGGACAGAGAAGGGAAATGGAGTGTGCTGTTGTCCTTTGATAAATCATTAAATTGGTTCAAGCTGCCCTGTGCAACTTCACTTTACCTAAACCCAAGGAAGTTGAGCAGGATTTTGAGAAATTTGTGGATTTTGAATAGGTTCTTTTTATATTGTTATTGAATATTTATCTTCATTAACTTTAACAGGGTAGGATCCTGCTCCTCTTTGATTTCTTTTTTGTTTATTTACAGTTTGATTATAGCTTGCACATAAGTAACTGTATCTGCACATGTTCAAATACTTAATGAGCAATTCAGCTTCACTAAACCCAGTATACAGAATATTTATTGTGATCTATTATTACCAGTGATTCTTATTGTGTTAGTATTTTGCACTTCATAAATCTCATGACCTAATATTAATCACTGTAGTAAGAAATGGGGGAAACGTGATGGGACTTTATTGTTACAGGAGAAGTGAAATACACAATCTTAAATGGTATCTCTGAAAACGTTCATTTACTTTTAAGTAAATTGATATAGATTTTTAAACCTAATTTTTTTTTTTTTAATTATACCATGTACAGGCCTACTGGAGCTTGTTAAGGAAGTTTGGCTTCCTTTCTGAAACATTTTGATATTCAAGAGTGGGTGTTTATTGCTCCCCTGAGATAAATTCTTTAGAAAGATTGAAGAGGGGAGAGGAAAAAAAACATGACAAACTTTTCAGTTCATTATCTGACCATGAATTAACTTGGAGTGAGAAATTGTTTTGGCAGTATTGCATAGCTATTTTTGTTGATTTCCCTGTCTGTAAAATGAGAATGTTTTTGTGGGGGAGAAATATTTAAAGTTGGTGTTTTAAGTTGTTTCTTAAGTTGACTTTTCAGCTGGAGAGAAAACAAAAAAGATGGTGAAGACTTTTAAGTCTTAATAAAAGCAATCTCAGGATTTATCTGATCAGGAAGGGCTTGTAATATGTTATTAGAAATTACAATTTATTTTCATTTTTATTTATTTTTTTTTTCTTCCCCCCCCAGGTGATTCATGGCAGGGGACGTGGAAGGGTTTAGCTCCTCCATCCATGACACCAGTGTCTCTGCAGGATTCAGAGCACTGTATGAGGAGGGATTGCTTCTTGATGTCACACTTGTCATTGAAGACCACCAATTTCAGGCCCATAAAGCTCTGCTTGCCACCCAGAGTGATTACTTCAGGATTATGTTCACAGCTGACATGCGAGAACGAGATCAGGACAAAATCCATTTGAAAGGTCTGACAGCTACAGGCTTCAGTCATGTTCTCCAATTCATGTACTATGGAACTATTGAACTGAGTATGAACACTGTTCATGAAATCCTTCAGGCTGCCATGTATGTCCAGCTTATAGAGGTGGTAAAGTTTTGCTGCTCTTTTCTCTTAGCTAAAATCTGCTTAGAAAACTGTGCAGAAATTATGAGACTTCTGGATGATTTCGGTGTAAACATCGAAGGAGTCAGGGAAAAACTGGATTCCTTTCTGCTAGAGAATTTTGTGCCACTCATGTCCAGACCTGACTTCCTTTCATATCTGAGCTTTGAAAAGCTCATGTCTTACTTGGATAATGATCATCTGAGCAGGTTTCCAGAGATAGAGCTGTATGAAGCTGTTCAGGCCTGGCTGCGCCATGATAGAAGACGCTGGAGGCATACGGACACCATCATTCAGAACATCAGGTTTTGTTTGATGACACCATCCAGTGTTTTTGAGAAGGTTGGTGCATTTGAAAAGCAATAGGCAGGATTCATCATTTAGCTAGGGCAGCATGCCATTAAATAGGTAAGATTCCCCAACCTATTAGGAGGAACAAAATTATAGCATTTATTTTCTAATAAACCCGTAGAAGGCGAACAACTAAAAGTATTGTCTTTTGGTTATTAGACGATAGTATGTACAGTGGCTGGAGAACAGGTGGGTTTGCAATACATGTTTGTAAGGGGTTTATATGGAAAAGACATTTTAAAATAAGGTCACTTGTATGTAGTTTGTTTTCAAATGTTCATACTGTTATCCACAAGTTACTTCTTGCTGTAGGGCTGCACACAGTATGTAGGGTGTATGTCATGATAATTGTTATCAATTTCATCAGAAAATAGTGACAGTAGATCTTATGTGGGTTTTAAGGTTTTTTAAGTTTAAGGGTTTTTTTAAGTACAGGGGTTTTTTTTATTTACAAATGACGACAAGCATCTGCTCTTAAATCTGCACCGTTTTTGGTGTTGTATCTTTGGTGGTTGTGCTGTTATACAGCAGTTGGAAGTAAGCCCTGATCCTGCAAAGTTACACGTGCACTTGGTTCTACACAAGGCAAGTAATTAATCAAAAAATATTTACAGTATGAAATTTTAATTATTTGCTTTAAATATCGGAGGAATCTTTGTAATAGTTGATCTGAAGTTCAACTGATCATTGTATGTAGTAAGAGGTTAAACCCAAACTTCTGATTCTACTTCTATGTTGAAGAATAGACAGAAAAGTTGTATCCTAGTTCTTGAGACTCTCTGAACATTTGTCAACAGTAGAGGTTTACTTTGTAAGCAACTCTTTCACAGACCAGTAACAGTGTTCAGGGCAGCAATTACTTAAACCTTCCTGTTTTAACACTGCTAAATTTGTGTGGTGAGATACAAGTTAACTTTTGTATCTTTCACCGCAGTGAATTACTAGGAGGTAAGACCCCGTGTTTTTGTTGTGCTTCTTTCAAATTAATTTTCCATCTATTTTTACTTTGGTGTCTGGTGAACGTACAGATAAGATTGTGTTGCTTTTGGTGGTTTTAAGGGCTACTGGGTCACTTGAGCAGTAATTCTTGTATGTATTCCTATTTTAAGTTATCAAAGCTATTAACTACTTCATACCAATGGGTTTCTATATTTTGGATTTTTTTCTGTGTGTGAATTGAATAGAGGATGTAATAATACATAAAATATTTATGATACTATATTATAGACATGAACAAAATAAATACCTACGCATATTTTAGAACAGCACTGCAGTGTTTATAAAGGGTTAAAACAAAGTGCAAGTCTATATTGGCCTTCAGTGTTACATGTAGGTATAACTTCTGGAGCTGGTTTTGGCATTAGTGGCGTAAATCCTTGATAAGTACTTCTCATGTTTCATCTTGACAACTTCCAAATAGCCCAGTAGGTACAACTTCAGGAGAGAAGTCGCTGTAAAAGCTTCGTCTGTGAATACACTTTCTGTTAATTGTATGTATGCGCAGAGAGAAGCCAGTGTAGGTTATGGAGTGGGGCAACTCAGCAGAGGGAAGCACAGCTAATTATGTCCTGTGTTGCTGCAGCTAGGAATGCATTTCTGTTTTACCCTGGCTAGAGAGCATTGAGTTATCCAGCACGACAAGTGACAAAGGACAACTGTAGTTGGAGCCAACATCAGAATATAGAACACTTTTTTTTTTATAAGAGAGCATGTCTGTTCACTGTTCTGGCAGTAACCCAGGGAGAACCTCTTTCTTCTCTGTGTAGAAGGGGGAGACTATTGGTAAAACTGCCTTTTTTGGAGATCTACAAACAGAATTCAGCCTTGTCCTGAAGTCAGCACATACTAAATGTCTGCATAAATGTAGCAAATACAGTCTGAGGTTGACTCTTCCAGTTCAGCAAACTCTGTATTTGCTGTACACTGGCTGGCTTGTCATATGTACTCTTATGTAATCTTTGTGAAACACGTTTCTCAGATGCCTGTCATTGTATATAAATAGCTTGTATGACTTAACTTTGCGAGTCATGGTAAGGATACTTTTGGCCTCTTAAGCCATTGTGTTTCTTACATCATTTTTTGGGCCAGATGTACAGTCTGACTGGGATGGCTTGTCCTTTCAGAAATGAAATGAGTGACTCGAGGTTTTAACACCTCGAGGCTGATGTGCATTTAGAGTGCACAAGTGAAGGTACAGCCCCTGTGCTTACTGCAAACTGGAAGAACGGCTTCTCAAGTATGAATAGATACTCCTTTTGTTCCTCAGCACTTAAAATACATGCTGATGTATGAGGGAAAATGGGAAGATAGGTGAATTAAGGATTTGGAGAAGAGTTAGAAACTAAAGCAAAGTGTATGGAGAAGTACAAGCTTTGCTGTCGACATTACATTTGCCTTTTTTTGGCTCTATAAGTCTTGAGGAAGTTTGGAGATAGAAGTTAGAGGGCATTTCACCTACATCACTGAGTTAATCTCTGTGTTGTTGGAGGCAACTGTGTCATAATTTCCCTTCGTGTACTGTTGAAGCTCCATTTAGTTTCTGTGTACTACTCAGATTGAAATGTTGTTTCAAAACTTTAAAATCCAAAGGGGTTTTTCTTTATGTTCAGTCTGTAAGGTTTGTTATGACTAGCCCATGCTGATTTATAATTTGCCAGTATAAATCAGGAACTTGCTAATCACTACGTTCTGCTGCAGAGATGGGATGAATAGCACATTATTTTTGAGTTTCTCTGCCCTGTGCCTAGAAAAAGGTAACTTATGAGAAGATATTACTGTAATTTTATGTTATTATGAGTTCACCTTTCATAAATGAATTTAATTTTTTTTTTGCGTTTATTTCAATGTCTAATAATGCATATGTATCTACTTCTACACCTTTGTTTGCTGAAGCAATTTCGTTTGCTGAAGCTTAGAGTAAGAAGTGTTTAGTGCATGAGGTTAGTGGGCCTCTCTTATCTTAAATAGGTGCTGCACTTGATATTTTTGTCTCTCTTGGATAGGTTTACTAGCAGTATTTATTTTGTACTGAACTTCTTTATTGTGGCAAATAGATTGACTCCACTCTGATTGGAGAAATTAGATTTGAGTTAGACTTGCTTGACTTTGATAATTTCACTTGACAGTTTCTAAAAAGGAACAGCCAAAAATAATCAGTTTGAGAGCACTGTCCTTGCTGCACAGAGGCTGTGCCATCTTGTCTTTTTATGGTTAGGCTGAAAAACAGTAAGTGGTTTGTAGCACATGTGGAATGGCCCTTCAGAGTCCTCTACTGGTACCAGTCAGTTCTCATACTGGCTTATAGTTGTGCTTAAAATATGGCCAGAGATAAGTAGATGGGAAAATAATAGAGATCTGAGTTGGTAGAGTTGATGGATCTTTAGCTTGGATTCAGCCCAATCTCTAGTAAAATAACTTTTTTTTTTTTTTTTTTTTTTCAAATAAAAGGAAGAATTTGCTCTCCAGAAGTCTGATACAGAGACCATCATTATTCACTGAAAAGCTGTGGTGTAGCTTTTGTACTCCTGGTGGTTAAGTTTGAGTTGCATCACTTACACATTCAGAATTGAAGCATTTATGTGTTTTTATGAATTCAGAGTTGATGATGGACTCATTAAGAATCCACATTTGTTTTACTTCGGGATTCATAATGGTTAGTGCACATTTCTTTCTGTTTTGCAGAAACTTGTGAGTGTTCTACTTGAGTGTGTTGGTAATTAGGGACACATTCCTTCTAGAACTTCTCCATTTGAACTTATCAGGAGAATTGGTCTGTTGATAAGTGCTTAGATATTTGTTGATCAGCTACTTGTTGCTACTTCCAGGGAGTGGCAGAAGCCTGCTTTTGAATGCAGAGGGCTTTCCTTAGTGTGTGTTTTGGGTGTCATGCAGAAATTCCCACTGAAGGCTTGTTAAAGGCTCTGTTCTTTCACCTGCTGAAGCTAAAGGACATGCACAACTTGCAGTTATTTTAATGCCTAACCACCTAAATTTTAATGCCTCTCTTTTTTGATTATACATGAAAGTATAATCAATCATGAGAAATGCTGTAAAATGATTTGAAAGTATAGGTGGAAGCTTTTCCTTACTATGGGCTGAGGAGGGCTTTCAAATAATTTTGGAATGTTTCACATAGTGTTTGACTGAAAGTGGGCAAAAGTACCTACATTTGCTTAATTTTTATTTGCGTAAAGCGAGTGTGAGCAGTCTGTACTTTGCTTTAGGCATATCCTGACATTCATCTTTTGAGCCTCAGGAGAGGTACTGCCCCTGTACGTGCTGGTGAAAGATGCAAGGCTAAAAACAGTGATATTTTTCCTCAACAGCCAGGTTTAGGAATGCTCAAACTACCTTCTCTTACCAGAATTTAGGTGGTCAATCACTCTTGTTTTGTGGGATTTTTTTTTTCTGCATATTGTAAGAATTGCCAGTGTTTGTGCATTTTCCTGTTCAGCTCTCCAAACTTGTGCTTGTAGAAGCTTCCCGACAAACTGTAGTCAGAGAGGGGTTATAATAACTGGGAGTTGCATTTATTTCTTTGTCTTTTTGATTTAAGGTAAGAGACTGAGGCTTTGCTTTGGTGTTAGTGCCTTTGTCAAGATAAGCAGTAGTAAACTTCTGCTATTGATTCCCTGGTCTTGAGATTCTGTCTCTGGAATTAGAGATACTCCTTGTTTCCTTTTGCATGTTGTCATGGGGTGAGATTTGTGCTCAGTGAAGGAGTGGAGTGGTGAGGATATATGAGGCTTATTTTAATTCCAGTCTCTGGCTGGCATTTCGATTTCTAAATCTAATGACAGAGTTGTAAATGTTGAGGGGGAAAGAAAAGCATTTTCCATCTCTGCCAGGCTTTGCTGGCATTCTTCATGTTGTAAGCATGTTGATCCTGATGTCTTCCACAGTCATTCAAGAAAACTTGAACTACATAAAGGTGGAACAAAGATAATTTATATTTTTATTTAATTCCAAAGATGATGGCTCCAGTTTGTGAATGCTTCAAGTAGTCCTGCCGTTCTAGAATTTGAACATTCCTTTTAAGGATAAAGTAACCCACCCACTATTCTTTGTTATTTTAACTTCCTTTTTCATTTTTTGTAACCTTTAAGGCTTTCTATATGTTATCATTTTTCTGTGCTTGGGTCTCCCTGCCAGCATATTTTCTGTAATTTATGGTCACTCTTTTCAGTCAGGCAAGGTATGTGGTTTATTCTAACAAATGCAGCACGAGCAGATCTGTCTTTGTATGACATATTATTTATTTGCAATAAGAAAATAGATCTTATTCCCACAAGAGTTGAACTTACTGTGGGTGTTTTGTAAGCCTGAGTAAACCTTTTTGCTCTTGTGAAAACAATAGAAAGAAGCTGGATGTTGGTGCAAGAATAATATATACATCTGCGTGTGACCATCCTCTTTTTCCAGACAGAGATAAGTTGATTTTGTCAGAATTAAGTGGGGGAAAGAAAAAGTGTAAATAAAAACATCAAATCACTGTAACTCTTGAGCTATATATTACTTTACAGTGGTAGGTTAGTATTCAGGGTTTTTTTGAAATCTGGTGTGTAAAACTATCTCAGTATCTGTGCAAAATATGCCCAATAATAACAGTTCAATAGATTTTTTGAAAAGATGCTTATCTGACAGCAGAATGTGTTAATTGTTATACAAGGAAGAGAAACTATTAATAGAAAGCTAACAAAATCTTAATAGTACATATTTATGGAACAAGCAACTACTGTATTCACAATGTATAAGGAACATTTATTTCCAAATTGCTTTCCATATACATCAAAATTCATACCACCCCTGAGGTAAGGGGTGGTACAGGCTTGTGTTCCTTGGGACAGGGAATAGGAGCAGATGAGGTAACAGATACTCAAAAATGTTCTGGTCACTTGCAATTTCAGAGTGGCCTCACATTTCTTCAGAGCATTGCTTCTCATTTTGGAGCTGGTGGGAGCTAAAGGCATTTAGACTGTTTGAAAGCAATCCAGTTTTACGTGAAAGGAACTGGAACCTTGGATCAAATATCATTGAGGATTTGTGGATTTGGCAACGCCCAGCAGGTTTTTACTTGTTTTCGAAGAGTGATTCAGAATGCTGTGTTAGACCAGACTGTACAGGAAGAGTGAAGCCTCTGATGAGAATCCCACGGTGAGCTGAGACTGCTTGGAGCTAAACGAGTTAAAATGTTCAGGACAGGAATGTGTTTTGGAATGGTTTCAGGAGCAGCCTGAGGAACTTAAATTGTTTTAGATAGTAGGAAGGATCCTGAAAAGGTAAATCCTTATCATCTTCTCTCTAACTCACAACTCCAATAAAACTGAGCAGGGTTAGCTCTTCAAATTGAGACATCACTATGTGCTAATTCCAAGGTTTTAACTCTCACTTGGGAAGTGGAAGTTCAAACCTACCTCCGCAATTTTTCGAAGAAATACACAACCAAAGGATTAGAGGTGGAGATGTTCCTCTCTTGTGCTAAAGGCATTTGTTAACATGTTCTGAAGGAAGGGGGTTGGATACCTTCCCTTCCCACACCACCCCAATTAAATAGCTCTGTGAGCAGAGCTCAGTGTTTGGCAATACCTGCTAGGCTTGGCTGTGAGATTTCAGGAAAAATAGACTAGAGTAAACCTTGGTAAACACAGAATGGGTGTGTAGAGTGTCTTTCAAACTCAGGAAAATAGTGTATTTTTAACTAAGGTGCTTCATGGATAAAGCAGAAGAGTAACAGAGGCTTTTTGAGGGGAAAGTAATAATGATTTTTAGACTTGGGAATTTCAGTTGTGCTTAATTCCGGCATAAATTTTGCATGTGATTATTCTGCTGAAATTGTTAGTCACTGCTGTTAGTCACTAAATTGCCTTCTGGATTTTTGGTAACAATACAGTCGTTCAAGCCTTCATGCACAAATGCTGTTGCTCTCAAGAGTGCCTGAATGAAACAAAGTAAAGTAATCTAATGATACATAGTCATTTAGGTTTTCTGGATTGTTTCTCTTGGTCAGAATTTTAATATCTTTTAAATGTATTCATAGGTAAAAACATCAGAGTTTTATCGATACTCCCGGCAGCTGCGACATGAGGTTGACCAAGCCATGAATTACTTTCATAGCGTTCACCAACAGCCTTTGATGGAAATGAAATCGAACAAAATTCGTTCTGCCAAACCCCAGACTGCAGTATTTAGAGGAATGATAGGACACAGTATGGTAAACAGTAAAATTCTTCTCTTGCACAAACCAAGGGTCTGGTGGGAACTAGAGGGTCCTCAAGTACCTTTGCGACCAGACTGCCTTGCTATTGTAAATAACTTTGTGTTCTTACTAGGTGGGGAAGAACTGGGGCCAGATGGTGAGTTTCATGCTTCATCCAAAGTGTTCAGATATGACCCAAGGCAGAACACTTGGTTGCGAATGGCAGACATGTCTGTTCCACGCTCTGAGTTTGCAGTTGGAGTTATTGGGAGGTATGTTTATGCAGTGGCTGGGAGAACCAGGGATGAAACGTTCTACTCCACTGAACGGTACGATATTACAGAAGATAAATGGGAATTTGTGGATCCCTATCCGGTCAATAAGTACGGACATGAAGGGACTGTGCTTGGTAACAAGTTGTATATCACTGGTGGAATTACATCATCTTCAACCTCTAAGCAAGTGTGTGTGTTTGATCCCAGTAAAGAAGGGACAGTAGAGCAGCGAACAAGGAGAACTCAAGTGGTCACTAACTGCTGGGAGAACAAATGCAAAATGAACTACGCAAGATGCTTTCACAAAATGATTTCTTACAATGGTAAGCTTTATGTTTTTGGTGGTGTCTGTGTGATCCTGAGGGCCTCCTTTGAATCTCAAGGATGTCCTTCTACAGAGGTGTATGACCCCGATACGGATCAATGGACTATATTGGCTTCTATGCCAATTGGTAGGAGTGGTCATGGTGTAGCTGTTCTGGACAAACAGATAATGGTTCTTGGAGGCCTTTGTTACAACGGTCATTACAGTGATTCGATTCTCACCTTTGATCCAGAGGAAAACAAATGGAAAGAAGATGAATATCCGAGGATGCCGTGCAAGCTGGATGGCTTACAAGTCTGCAGCTTGCACTTCCCTGAATATGTTTTGGAGCATGTTAGACGTTGCAGCTAAAACTGAGTGAACAACCCAGTGAAATACAAAAAACTATACTGAATTTGTTAAAAAAACACAAACCAGTTAAATTCCTTCAGAGACATTTCCTTGTGTGTGAGAACAACTGCTAAATGCTCAAGAGAAACAGGATGTACAGGGAATGTACTTACCAAGTTTATTAGAAAAGCCAATAGTTGGTCTGACCTTGTAAAAGCTTTGTTGTTATGGGGTTTTTTAACATAACTGTAAGTATGAAAAAAATAAATTTTTGAGTGTGCTTGGGTTTTTTTCTAACATTTTATGTCCATAATATTTTATCTTTTTTTTTTTTTTAATGGCCGTTTTGCCACTATGCTTTTGAAATAAGTTGAGTTTGACAAAATATTTGTGAAAGGCAGAGAAGAAAGATTTTATTTGCGTTTTTATTGAGCATCAAAATAAACCTCATCATCTGTACTAGGGTACAACCACATATAAGATAACAAAACCAAACCCTTTCTGTGTTTTATGTTGTCTTTTAGATGCTTTTCCCATTAACTACAAAGAATTCTTAAATCTACTAGGTGTTTTTGTTTTCCTTTATTTGCTTTGGAGAAGAATTTTAACCCCTTTGCATGACCTTTCTCCTGGTTTTGTATAGTGGTACCAGTAACTACCAAACTGCAAATTACACATTTTCTACTAAATTGAAAGCAAAGCATTTTTATATTCAAAACACTGTTTCTATGCTGCCTTCTGTTGTCTGCATTGTGTTTGTTGGTGAGTAAAAAAAGTATACATACATGTGCATACACTGTAAAAACTGTATATAAATGCATCTTTTTATTTGCAGTTACAATATTATATTTTAACTAGTGCACAGGTTCAGCCATATCTGTTGAATTTAAGGTATTCTTTAATAAGCTAAATAATTCAAAGTTCTTAAGTAACTAGAGTTACTTAAGATACCATTTGGTATCAAAGTAGCTTATCTTTAGATATACTGATTGATTCAGTAACTTTAAACTCTTTGTATTGTTGCTGCATAATGAACTGTTGATTATTTGCTGGGTTATAAATTATTTTTTAAAAAGCAAACTCATCTTACCTGAGTTTCTTTTCGGTTTCAATGTGCTGCCCAGTTTTCTTTTTTCATGAAAATGGAAAATATCGATAAGCAAATGCTCAGCACTGCTGTGACCCACAGTTATTTTTGGAACTGGATACTGGATATACTACAGTTTATTCTCAGTACTTTGCTTGTACTCGCATTTCAATATGAGTACTTGTATTGAAGTGGTGTAATCTTTTTATTATAATTATTTTAATTATTAACTGTTAAGAACTACTGTGTTTTGAAAGTGTGGGGTTCGGTGATTGGATGATTGATGTAATTTCTGTTTCTTTTATAAAAAAACCTACATAACTATGGCTACTGACCTCAGAGTGCCTGAAACGAGATGTATGGTCCTAGAGGGCTTTGAATAACTCCACTGAGTTTAACTTACAGGTATAACTGTCAGTAGATTGGTAAAAATTATCTACCAAGACATAAATAATAACAGTAATTGCATTTTGATTATCTTTATGGATATGAAATTAGCCACTTCTGGAACCTCAAGGAGAAGTTGAAGGCTCACAGTTCAAATGCTGAAACATGCAGCTGCATATTCTGTAAAATCTTATGCTGCTGTGTTTCACTTCAGGCAATGGACTTTATATGCAGCAGTGCTAAACCACTTTATTCAGCATCTTCCAGTCAGAAATCACTGTAGAAAAGGAATGTACAGTACTCAGGGAGTTCAAAAGAATGCACTTACAAAGGGACCAAAATCACCCTAAATTTTCTATGTTAAAAATAACACCTACTGGAACGAAGTTTGAAATAATAGGAGTTAAAACAACTTGTAGAACTCCTCATACTGTGTTTTGATATTTTTGTAGTAATTATGTCCTGGGTTGAAATGTGAGTATTGGAGCTATATGGCAAGTCAGCAAATTTTTAAATTTTTTTTTTTAATTGTTAGAAATTATTTAATTATCAAGTATTTTCTTTTCATATGTTTTAAAAGAAAGAGGTAGTGCATGCCATCATAGCTGTAGTGATAAGCTATTTACACCAGAAGTGGCTGGACCAAATACTGATATTCAGCCTTCTGATACAGGCTAGTTTGCAGTTAAATTTGTCTTTTTTAATAGGAATTCAGTTGACTGAATTAGAAATCTAATTTACTTTCTTGATATTTTAAGGTAAAGCCACTGTGGCTTACACTAAAACCTCAGTTTCACAACATCTCCCTGCGTGGGTACAGAGAGAAACTGACTCCAGTAGGTGCTGGCTCTGTGCTGACTGTACATAGTTCATGGAATATTGAGGCACAAGAGAAAAAACCAAGAGGTTTTAAAATATTTTTTTATTATTATTCTGTTTGTCACCAGGTCATTTCTCACTAAGTTAATGGGGCAGCAAAAACTAATCCTGCCTGAGAGGGCTTTCATGGGCACGTTCTGTACAGTACAGAGTACTTCACTTTTATCTGGGGCCGTGTGGGGGGAATGGACGTAGTTCTGGATATCTGGTGTTCAGGATTCAAATGTCTGAAGAGACCCAGCCAAGACTTTATTAAAACTATCAGTAAAGATGGGGGTGTGTCAAGGTATGGTTTGGAGTCTGTATTTGAGCCCCTTCTGAGGTTCTGTGTACAGGGCAGCTGCCACTGAAGTCATTGCTGAGTACACTTGAAGAGCCAGATTGGTTTTGGTGCTCTGCTTTTAGATTAGTATCTATCTTGAGGTGCCCAGCTCTGAAAGTTCTTATTCAGGACTGTAATAGTAATTGTTCTGTGAAATTTTAATTGAACTGTTGGTTTCGGCTTCCTTGAAAGCTGTGTCTCCATTGAGAGGCTGGCTGCTACCTTTCCAGCATTAGGAATGATTGGAATTTGCTGGGGTTTAGAATGTGTGGGGGTATGTGAGTGTTTTGTCAATTTACATTTCTACTGTGCTTCTGTTGTTTCAGACATGAAATATAAAATGAGCTTACTCTCTCTTTTATGTTGCAGTGGAACTTTTAAGGCAGCTATTTTTGTTACTTTATATGTCGGAGGGATTCTTTATTTTAATTGAAAGTCTGTGTTTGCTTTTATTATTTAGCACCAGATAATTTAGTGTTTAGATAGAAACAAAACTAAGCTGGCTAATTAGAATTGCCTATTATGAAATTTTGAGCATTATGATCAGATTAAGATGAGTTTAAAAAAAAACCAACACTTAAATGCCTCTCATTTGTTAAGGAAAAGGTAAGTTTCAATCTTTGATTACTAAGTTTAGGGAAGTTCTTTTTCTATTCCCACCCCAAGCATAATGGAATACCAGCAAACCTAATGTCACCCACATATTTAAAATTCAACACATGACCTGCTTTGAAAAGGAAGTGTACTTGCCTTTTTTTAAAAAAAAGGGGACATAGTGAGTTACAATGTAGGTTGTTGGGTTGTCGGGGGTTTTTTTTTGGGGGGGGGGGAGGTTTGGTGGTGGTGTTTTGTTTTGTTTTTCCCCCACATCTATAGAAAAAATGTATCAGCTTCATTTCTTAGTTTAGCATCCAACTCCAGGAAGAAAGTTTCTTTTCAGATGAGGTAATGTACAAAAAGCGCAGTGCTCCTGTAAAGCAGCCAGACACTGCCAGTTCCCATTTCACAAGCTGCTATGCCTGTTTTTAGGGACAGGGCTTTTTTTAAAGTACTGTATAAAGAAAAAATTGTTTATTTTCCCCCCACAAAATGTTGGTAGTTTCGTAGTGGGAGGTATTAGTTGGCAAAAAACTTTTGAAGTTTTTTTCCCCAGGAATTCAGCTGGAGGAAGGCAGTGCTCGGTTTTACAAAGGCCCTGCTGTTTCAGAAAGCACTGCTGGCAAGTGGCAGCATATGAGCTACCTGGCAACCTGCTTTTATGTTACTTCCTTTTGAAAAGTGTGGCTGTCCTACTTTCTGCAGTATGATAGCAGTCCTGTTAGAATTAGATCCAAGGGTT